ACGGTGGTTCTCGAGTCAAACCATCATAAAGGACACAGGACTATGAGCTGTCGCCCCGGGGTCCCTATCAGTCTCTGCAACAAGTCAGGCTTGAAGCCAGTCTACTCTCTGGATTTGGGGTACTATATGTCAATGGATTCCTTTGATTTGGGTAGACACCACAGCCCACTTTGTGTGAGCATTATGACAGGTGCGTGTATACCTTTACTCCACTTACTGGCCATCAGTTGAGATTCACATTATACTGTGTCTATTTTACAGGTGGCTAGAGGAAGCTGAAAGAATCAGATGACTCATTTAAGATCCCACTGCCAGAATGAATTTAATAGAAGAGAAATTTAATTTCCTCAGACTCCCAGTTCAGTTAATTACACATGTACCGTTATCAGACCTGATGGGGTGAAATGGGACACTGAGTAAGAGTAACACTCAGTCCCAACTCTAACAGAGGCTGAAGGTGAGCAAAACTTTCCTCAAGGTCTTCTGGAAGATTACTTGCATTCAAGAGAAGAATCTTGTAGAATCCTGGCAGACACATGTTGGATACATGAAAACTATTTGCTTAGCGAGTCTTAACTCCTATTCATTTATTGATGCGAGCCAGGAAGAAAATTAGGTTAGTTAATATGAAACTGTCATGTTTTGAACACAATCCAAAAATAGCCAAGAAAGAAATTATCTGCACCAATAAAGCAAGACAGCACCGGGACCTTCACGCTTGATGGAACACGAATGATCTTATTAGCTTCAGTATCTTGAGGTCACCATAAAAATTCATCTTTCTTTGAGTTGCAGGGAAAATATCAAATAGCTATTACCTTGCACTGAATTTTGCTGGGATTCTGCAGACCTGTCCCCAAAGCCACCGCCATAAAATCACAAAACTGTTTTTCGAAGAAGCCCAGCTCTCTTACCAAGAGATTTCTGCATTGCTATTTTTATTAATAAGAACCCTACAAAGAACTATTTACTCGGATAAGCTGGGAAGGGAAAACGAACACCTCCCCAAGGTGAACCGCTGATAAAGAACAGAGAGATCAGGAGGCCTAAGCTCTGTGAACTGCACCCGTCCGAGAAGTGGGCGAGGCGCTAAAAGCACATTCCTTGCATGGCACATTCCTTCTCGCCTTCCATCTCCAGCCCCTCCAAGTGGTACCACAGAAAGAGAATGCTACTTGAAATCAGTAAACATTCAAGATCCTGCCAATATTTGGGGTGCGATGCCCCATGGTACGTGCCCCAGTTATTAAAATCATGCAGCTGTTGAAGATCCAAGTCAGGCCACAGAAATCAAAATCAGTTGATGAAGCTCTTCATTTCCTGAGTCACTTCTTGCTGGACTTCAGTCAAATATTGGAGGTTTGTTTTGTTTTGTTTATTTATGTATTATTTTTCGCTTTTTGGGTCACACAGGGAGATGCTCAGGAGCTAGTTCTCTGCACTCAAAATCACTCCTGGTGGTGCTCAGGGGACCCAATGGGATCCCAGGGATCGAACCCGGGTCAGCTGCGTGTAAGGCAAACGCACTCCCTGCTGTACTATCGCTCTCGCCCTGATTGGAGTTATTTTATTTTATTTTAATTTTGCTTTTTGGGTCACACCTGGCAATGCACAGGGGTTACTTCTGGCTCTGCACTCAGGAATTATTCCTGGTGGTGCTCAGGGGACCACAAGGGATGCTGGGAATTGAACCTGGGTCAGCTGTGTGCAAGGCCTCTCTGCTGTGCTATCGCTCCAACCCCGATTGGAGTTATTTTAATAATTCTAAACTAATATTTCTGATAGATCCTTCCTTTGAATCCATCTTTTCTCTCCTCCACCGTGCCACCCACTGAACGCCCCCCACCCTCTGGCATGCCACATTCACCCACTTCCACATCTTTTCTATACCCTATTGCTGACAAAAATATTAACAGGATTCCATAACACGCACAGGTACACCATGCCTCCAAATCAGACCTGCTTTAAAAATCTTCATTTATTCCTAATGACAGATGAAAAATAAGAGTCTAAAACCAATCCCCCAGATCGCAGCCACCCAGGAGCCATTACAATTTGACTAGATTTGCATATAAATCAATCCAACTTTTGCAAAGTGAGTCACGCCTGAAAGCATGAGATAATTGCCAAAACTGTGTCCCGCCAACATGTCACGCTATGGGGGTTATACTCAGGAGTGGGCCTTCAGGGATGACCAGGACACCTAGCCCTTTTGCTTTTACCTACAGAGAGTGGCTCAAAGAAGTATTGGGAAATATTTCTATTTGAATTATTGCTGCCTCCAAATCGGCCCAAAAATGCTGCTCTACACTTCACAGCACAGAAACATGAAATGCACGTGGTGAGAAATGAGAACCATGCAGTCGATATTAAAAAAAAGTCCATTTCAATGTTGGGAGGATCCTCCCAGGATGGGAGATGCATCCTGAGAGTAGACTCTAGACAAAACATGATTGCCACTCAATGCCTCTTTTGCAAACCACAGCACCCAAAAGGAGAGAGAGAACAAGGGGGAATGCCCTGCCACAGAGGCAGGGTGGGATGGGGGGAACATGGGGTGGGAGGGATACTGGGATCTGTGGTGGTGGAGAATAGGCACTGGTGGAGGGATGGATATTCGATCATTGTATAACTGAAACCCAAGCACAAAAATTTGTAAGTCTGCAACTGTACCTCATGATGTCTCACTATTAAAAATTTTTTTAATAAAAATAAAATAAAATAATAATAAAAAAAGGAGAGAGAGAACAAAAGGGAATGCCCTGCCACAAAGGCAGGATGGGATGGGGGTATGGGGAGTGGGAGGGTTACTGGGATCAGTGGTGGTGGAGAACGGGCACTGGCGGAGGGATGGGTACTCGATCATTGTATAACTGAAACCCAAGCACAAAAATTTGTACATCTACAACTGTACCTCATGGTGTTTCACTAATAAAGGTAAAGGTAAAAAGGTAAGGTAAAGGCCCTCCCGTTGATCGTCGATTTGCTCGAGCGGGCCCAGTAACGTCTCCATTGGAGATTTTGTTGTTACTGTGTCTGGCATATCGAATACTCTCGGTAGCTTGCCGGGCTCTCCGAGAGGGGCGGAGGAATCGAACTCGGGTCGGCCATGTTAGCCGCTTGTAAGGCGAACGCCCTACCCGCTGTGCTATCGCCCTACCGCTGTGCTATCACTGTGCTAACGCCCTACCGCTGTGCTATCGCTCCAGCGATTTTATTTATATAAAAATCTAAATAAAAAAAGCCCATTTCTGGTTTTAAAGGAGGGTTCTTATATCTAGATTTCACTGTTACCACTTATGGCCAATGGCTTCTGAGACCCAAGTTGGGGAAATCAAGCAAACGTGCAGACAGATTCTCAAATTCCTTACAGTGCTTTCCCCCGAGGATAATAAGTAATTCTGAAAAAGAAGAAGAAGAAGGCTGCTCTGAAGGTTAAAGTTTGAGTTTCTAAAATGAGGGTCTTGGCAGTCTCTCGAAGATATGCTACATTTCAATTTCCAGGTACTTAAAACCAAATAGACCAGAAGAACTGTATGGGGGAAACAGTTCTTAAAAAACTTAGTAGGTTGGAACATTGAATTGATCATATTTCTGAAAAGCAAATTTTAAGTCCCGGAGCTTTGTGGATCATGGAATGAACAGATTAATTTGAAATTGGGCACTACTGCCCTAGATTGACATGGATTAGAACCACCAGCAATTCCAACTTTAACTCTCAGCCTCCTTATAATGTCTCATATTCCTGTCCATTTTTTTAAAAAATGTTTATTTTTTTTAAATTGAATCACCATGAGATACAGTTACAAAGCTTTCATGCTTGAGTTTTGGAGAAAAAAAAATATGGGCGTTACTTAAAAAACTAGAAATTAAGCTTTCATATGACTCCACAATACCACTTCTGGGAATATATCCCAAGGGTGCAAAAAAGTGACCTCTGCGTCTCTATGTTCATTGCAAGTCCTGTCCATTTTTACAAACAAAACCAAATTACTTTGCATCAGCAGGTGATTTTTTTTTTAACTCAACTGCAATGTCAGGTTATAGACAAAAGAGACTTCAATTTCTAAAAAAAAAAAAAGCAATCATTTAAACATCTATAATGTAAAATAGAGGAAAAAAGGAGCTTAATTTGGAGGGAGGAAGTGTGGGGGAGAAGGAGAGAAGAGATTGATTAGGTTCTATCTCCATCACTAATTATCACACCAACTCTTCCCAGCACATGCGCTCAGCTGACCTCCAGTGGAAAGAGGGTGAGTCACCAATGTGCTCACTGGGTCTCATCAGACAAGTCTGAGAATTAACCTCTTCTGGTGCTAATGTCCTTTTGTGCTACTGACAAAAATTCCGTAATATCGTAGGCAATAAACCAGAATACTTCAAAAAACGCCAATGCCCCCACACTTGGGGACTCTATCACCATTTTTTTTTTTGCTTTTTTGGGTCACATCTGGCATTGCACAGGGGTTACTCCTGGCTCATGCACTCAGGAATTACTCCTGGCAGTGCTTGGGGGACCATATAGGATGCTGGAAATCGAACCCAGGTTGGCTGTGTGCAAGGCAAACGCCCTACCCGCTGGGCTATCTTATTAGTGGGTGAACTAATATTTAAGTAAAATATCTGGTTGGATAAAATTATCACTACAACAAGCACACTTTCACCACCATTAATTCTGATAAGGAGACAGATAAAATAATAACATGGGGGCTTTCCCCAAACCCTGAAGTTGGCTTCTGTCTAGCCTGACTCGGAAAACAGTTTATTTGTAGCATCTGGGCCAGGCTCATCTTCAGAATGTGGACAGAATATGCAAAAATCCCGCATGAATCACTAGACTTGCCCAAGGACTAATCAGTCACTCAATAACCATTTCTGCATTCCATTCCTTTTCCACTGAGGGTGATTCAGGCTGGATGTCCGAGGCAGACTCTGGCCTCCAAGGACTCGAACCTGGGCAAAGGAACAAAAAAACGTACGGAACCAGTCAGAATACTCACCTCCCTGCCTCAAAAGTAAACCAAGCCGCGTCCCGTCCGTACCTCCGCAGGGCACTTAGTGGCCAGGACAGAAGTCTGACTCTGGGATTCTGCGCGTCCCAAAGGCAGATGTGCTCACACGTAATCTGCAAGGCACATTCGCCATGGACATCTAAGTTAGGAGATGGCATCAAATACACATTGAATCTCTCTGGGAGAAAAACAGAAGGTTAGTCTAAAATCCCCAGGAACAAGACTCCGAAGACACTGTAGGAACAAAGAGACATTTCAATATAACACAAGCTCGGACTCAGGAAAAATGACCCTCACCCACCCACTCAAGGTCCCAGAAAATGGTTTCTTAAAGGAAGCTCAGATCAAAGTCTGGCCATCAACCTACACAAAACACAGCCAGGCACAAAGACTGTTTTTTTTTTTAAAAGAATCTTTTAAATTTGCATAATAAAAAAATGGGCACACCAATGAAAGGCTGAAGAGAGGAAACCATGAAAGACATTATTATTTTTTTTTCTCTGCCAAGTACACGTTAACTACACCCACACTTTTGTGTTCACAAAAGATGCAGGTGCGGGCTGATTGTCGCATTGCTTCAGGATATTAAACTTCTCTAGATCAATTTGTAATTTTCCAGAACTAAAGGAATTGTACCTCAAATTATTTAAATAACCACCAGCACTATCACTATACATTTGACTGATAGTCTGTGTAATTACCAATGGTTATTCATTTAGGGTTTTTGTTTTTGTTTTTGTTTTTAAATGGCGGGGGTATGGGGAGTGCTGGGCATAGTTAACTATGCTCAGGGTGTATTCTCGGCTCTGTGCTCAGGAGCGACCATGAGTAGTACTGAGTACTAAAGCACCAAAGTCAGCTGTATGCAAGGCAAGTGCCTTCCTCCCATACTATCTCTCCAGCCTGCCAAGGGGTGCACTGAACTAGGCTTGACAACAAGCTTTCTTGAGTCAAATATAGGAAAGAAACAGCCATGTGCTGATACGATTGGTGATCAAAATTTAATGGAGAATAACCCAAATAAAGCTCTTTGGTATGTGACTACAGTTGACTGTTCACCCGCAGATCCAGCCAGGATATTTTGCTTCCGTTTTCAGAAAATTCATGAATTAAAAGTTACAAAGTAAAATATCTGGTTGGGTAAAATTATCACTACAACAAGCACACGTTCACCTAGCATCAATATAGTAGATGGCTTATAATCTGACAAAATAATGAGGCACTAATAGTTATACTATGTACTGCTGTACTAGTAATTATTGGTATTCTAAATTAACGAAGGAAGTCATTCCATTAATTATGCATTTAAATTTAATTTCATTAAAAAAGTGGTAAGACTGTGTTCATAAAATGCATTTCCATATCAATCATTTAACATTTCTGAATTATTTCAAACTCCCAAGAATCAAATAGTTCCTAAGTTCTGGTAAAACTATTTTAAAAATCTATTATAGTGGGAAAGCTTCCACTTGGAGACTTTGGGAACAAGTAAGAAACACTGTGATCATTAAATAAAAACTAGGAAGTAGAGCACTGCCAATTTATCTTCTAAAGTTCTTGTATAACTCTACCCCACTCAAGAGTAACAACAGCAATGGGGTGAAAATGATTGCTTGAATTCCAACTGTTTGTGTCATGGTATCACAGTCCTCCCGTTGTTCATCGATTTGCTCGAGCGGGCCCAGTAACGTCTCCATCGGGAGACTTTGTTATTACTGTGTTTGGCATATTGAATACGTCACGGGTAGCTTGCCAGGCTCTGCCATGCGGGCGAGAGACTCTCGGAAGCTTGCCAGGCTCTCCGAGAGGGGCGGAGGAATCGAACTCGGGTCAGCCATGTTGGCTGCTTGCAAGGCAAACGCCGAATATTCTAAAGTTGAGTTGCACAATAAAAATCTCTCATCATGCTACAGCAGAGGCATTCATGTTCATGTCTGACAGAAGAGGAAACTGAGGCACGGGGAATGGGCTGGGGGAAAAGGCAACTCCTAAGCAACTAATTCTCGAATTCAGTTTGAAGTACCATCAGGTTGCCCCTTTATGAAAAATAATTTGTCAATATTAAAGGCTGACGCCAGTTTCCCAGATAAAAAATAAAAAATACCAAAACTTATGCTTTCCTCCTTCTACTGGGCTTCCTGAGCCTCTGTCCCTGTGGCTCTATGGGACCCGAGGCCCAGAAGCATCCTGGCTCAGAGACTCTCAGAGGCATGAGGCTCGGCTGTGACCCTGACTCCAGCTTTGCAGCTCCATTTCTCAGGCCAAGAAGGGCCTCTTGTGAGGGAGCTAGTGCTCCTTGGTCAAGGTCATGACACTCCCTTAGAGCTGGATTATAGGCACCCTAGAGCATTCCAGAAACTTAATGGGCCATGAAGACAGAGTCCAAGGGAGAAGCAGGTGACTGTGCAGCCCCAAGGTGCCAGAAAAGCCCCACCCTGGCCTTATTCTTATTTTTTTGGGGGGGGGACGAGGGTTGAAGGGGTCACACTCGGCGATGCTCAAAAGTTACTCCTGGATCTGCACTCAGGAATTACTCCTGGCGGTGCTCTGTGGGCCCTATGGGATGCTGGGAATTGAACCCTGGTCAGATGTGTGCAAGGCAAACATCCTACCTGCTGGACTATCGCTCCTCCAGCCCCCTTGGCCTGATTCTAATCAAGCAGGAGACCCCCAAGTCTCTGGCTGGGGTGTAACCTCATCCAGAGAGGCAAGAGGACAATAAAACTTAGGAATTTAATCTACCTGGACACCAGGCTCCATTTGGGGGGAATGAAGAAATAAATCCTCATTTCCAAGTTCACGTGGGGAAAAAATTCTATTCTTTTGCCAAAGTGTTCATGAGTGCTGGGGTTTTAGTATGACTTAAAATGATTTATTTTCAGAACAAGTGTTGAGCTCAAAGAACTGGCTCAAGTGAGTTTAGTTTTAAGTGTAGATGTAGGTGGATTAAAACTCGAAGTCTGGAGTTTATTCAAAAGACTGCAAGTATGCCTGTAAATTTTAAAGTCAAAAAAGGCAAGAAAAATGTGGACTGTAGAATCTACCCATTATAAACAGAGGCCAAACGGTATATTCTAGAATCAAACATGAGTTAAGGGAATTTTGGTGCAAGATCTTGAGTTTTCATAAGCGTCAGTTTCCCTATCTGTAAAGCTGGGGGAAGTACTAGTACCTCTGTCATTGGGATATTGGGAAATCAAATGACTTATCGGCAACTTCCACAGAAACTGGCCTACCGCAAGCTTCCTCACCATTCCAGCTGATATTATTACTGTGGACCCTTTCAGATTTGACATCGAAAGAGTATTACAAATACAGTCAGCTAGTAATATACCCTTTTGGTGGAACAGAAGGCTGATCTGATTTTTTACTAGATGTATCCTTAGAGTCTCCAAGTGGAAAGAAGATGACCAAGGGGGTGAAGGGAAGGTTGGTTTGGAAGTGAGTGACAGGACAGCATTCGGCTACCTACCACTCTGTTCTCTCTCCACTCCGGTAGCCAGTAAGTCTGGCTCTCCGAGGCTAATGTCATTGATGCGAGTCCCCACACATTCCATCTGGAGCACTTTGCACCATTCATCAGCCTCGAGATCTGCGGAGATGTCCACAAGGTTAACTCGACGATCTGACCCCTGTTCACACGTAAAAGCACAAGCCCTTCCTGCCCCCGGCAAACCTGATTCGCAGGCAAAGGTCTTGGAAGTATCATCGTTGAAATAGAGCCCCACAGCGTGCTTCTTAGTACTCTTGGGCAATCGAGCCACGTTCTTCACATTGTTGAGTTCTGTGACCTGAGAAAGGAACCGTGAGAGGTTTGATCACAGCCCTAAACGGTCCCCTCTAAACCACACCAGCCGGCGGAGGACTGCAGGAGCCTAGATGGAGTGGAGCGTACGCAATGGAAAGTGATGACTTACCCCTGCATTCTCTAGATACTCAGCATGAAAAACACAGCACCTTCTAGAGTGAATGGCACACATCAAGGGGCACAGGCACAAAGCTTCCTAGAGGCGGGAGGCTTGTTTTTTCAATCATAGAACACCCTCCAAAACTAAGAACTATCTTCTTAATAGTTCTCATGAGTCTCTGCATCAGGGTGGATGATCTCTCAAATACCCATCTCTCCCGTGCACCCTCAGGGTAAGCATCCTACATATACATGGACCCAGAGGAAGAGAAGGGCGGTCCCCCTCACAACTAGATTTATTCTTCATTTATTATTGATGGTAGGGTGTGAAGGGTCTTCAGACTCTACACACACACACACACACACACACACACACACATACACACACACACACACACACACCCCACTTGGGGTTCAGTAACATTCCAACACAGAAAGTTGGCTTGGCTAGTGGTTTGTTTTCATTTTATCTAAGGGGTTCCTAGATTCTCAATTGTTATGGAGTCTGTTGGTTGAGTCTGTAAACACTGGACTGTCACCTTCCATCTCTCAGCAAGCAGGCAAAGCTCCCCTTACTCCTTTAGATTTGTGCTTCTTCCTCTTTCCCAGAACCCTCTGAGCCCTTGTTATGTTTCTAACCCACTCCCACCTCACAAAGCATGCTGGCTTCTCATGTCTTCAATGGCTGCCCACTCTCTAGTCTCTCTCTGCTAAAGCCCTGTAGACACGTAATATTTGAGTCCTATGTGACTTGGAGAGCAGGCCTGATTTCCCTTGTAGTGTATCAACATGCTCTTTCTGCATTGACAAACCCTTTATGCTGGTCAACAGAAAACTAAGGTTGCTCTCATCAGCCTTCTGTGCTATGCTACGAGGCTCCCATCGACGTTCCGTAACTGCCTGCCTTAAGAAAGAGACGAAGAGAGAAAGAAATACCATGGATAAACTGATCATTTCATCCCCTTGCTTCTTAACGCCCACTGGCTCTTTCTGTAATGCAAATGCAAATTTCTGAGTATGAAATATCATAACAGAGGCTTTCAGACTGTCTGGGCTGCCTCTCCAGATTCCCGTGGTGACATCCTACTTCATACAGGGAGAGCATTAGGAGGAGGAAGTAGATAAATGACATGGGTGGATCCACCATGAATGGGATGAGTCCCTTTGTACAGAGGACCCCAGGGACCTCCTCCTTTCTGCCACAGGAGGACACAGCAGGATGTACCTTCTACGAGCCAGCAACCACGTTCCCATCCAACTGAGTCAGCATGCTCTTCTATCCCTGCCTCCCAGACTCTAGAACTGAAAGAACACAGTCTGTTGCCTATATGCTGTCTTTAATGTCACTTTTCTTAGGGCGGCCCAGAACTCTACCAGGATGCCCCAAAAAACCTTCTCCAGGGTGGGAACATTACCTTATTCTCTTAACAAATCAACTCCCTTAGAACTTGCCAGATGTCAGTATTTATTTTGATGCTGTTGTCTGCGCTTGTGTCACTATCTCAACACAAACCATTAATATTGGGCAACACTCACTACTGGCATCTTCACACCCATCATAATGCCATTAATTCACTTTGAACAAAGCATCCAGGTGATTGCTTTAAAACATATATTTTATGTTTTATGTGGCGAGGGCTGGAGCCATAGTACATAGTACAATGGCTAGGGCACTTGCTTGCCTTGCATGTGGTTGACCTGGGTTCAATCCCTGGCACCCCATATGGTCACCTGAGACCATTAGGAGTGATCCCTGAGTCCAGAACCAGGAGTAAGCCCGAAACACTGCTGGATTTGATCCCCAAACAAAAAATAAAATACAAATCATTTGCCAGCATTTCTATGGATAACACAGAACATTCCACTGACTTCCTTCTCCATATGGAAACAAGAGTTCAAATCCTGATTGTGAACACTGGGGGCCTCTAAGTGTGGTTGATCCAAGGTATCCCAGGTATCTCACAAGTTTCTACTCAGACACATCCACACAACCTCTGTGCCAGCAACACTGGCCTCTTTTTGGTTGGTGGGAAGTGCCAGAGTCCTGACACTGAGCCTTTTCCCTTATCCTTTCTCCACTCCTATCAGCTTCCTCCTCCTCCTCCTCTTCCTCCTCTTCCTCTTCTTCCTCCTTCCTCCTACTTCTCCTTCTTCCTTCCTCCTTCTCCTTCTCCTCCTCCTTCTTCTCGGCTTTTTGGGTCACACCCAGTGATGCTCAGGAGTTATTCCTGGATCTGCGCTCAGGAATTTCTCCTGGAGGTGCTCAGGGGACCATATTGGATGCCGGGGATCGAACCTGGGTCAGCCATGTGCAAGGCAAACACCCTACTTGCTGTACTGTGGCTCTGGCACCAGTGTCTTCATTGAAATCTGCTACCTGTGAAATAGGCTAGATTCTTAGTCCCTGTCCCAAATACAGTGATGAATCTCAAGGCTCTCACTCAAGGGAGACAACTTGGCTTTAGGTGGCCACATGGCTGTGCTGGGCTTCTGTCCTGCCCTAGGGTGTGGACTGACATCGGAGGTCAGCATTATGTGTCCTGAGTCTAACCTAGAGCTTCTCCAAAAACTAAAGTGCCTCCAAGTAGACCAGATGAACAAAAGCCCAAACTTATCCATAAATTCAGTTGTGAGGCACTTCTCTGCAGTCAGTGCCTGTCCTCGGCCTCTTCATTGACAAGGAAACTTAACTTTTGCTTTGAGGTCCTCTTCCTCTGGACCTGGGAAAAAACGTCCAAATTGCCTTGACTTCAGTGTGACGTCCCTATTCTTTGTACTCCCACCTATGCAGCAGGAAGTTGTAGTTTATGTCTGTTTCTAGAAGGAAACGGCTGATCTCTCCCACTCCCCTTGAAACGTGAGTCACCGAATCATGCCTTACTGATGGCTAATCAATGAAGAGCAGACATTTGAGAGGTGCCCAGGTTTTGAGATTGTCCCATCTGCCACACTCTGAACTTTGGGTGCTTTTAGGTCAAATGTTCAATTCAACCTTCATAAAAACCCAACAGAACAATGACATTCATCCATGTTCTCCAGATTAAAAAAAAAAAGAAGGTGGGAAAGTGCAAAACTGTGATATTCCCAAGTTTATAGCTAAAAGTCCAATGAGCTATAGCACAGCAGGTAGGGCATTTGCCTTGCATGCAGCCAACATGGCCAACCCAAGTTCGATTCCTCTGCCCCTCTCGGAGAGGCCGGCAAGCTACCGAGAGTATCTCGCCCTCACAGCAGAGCCTGGCAAGCTCCCCGTGACGTATTCAATATGCCAAACACAGTAACAACAAGTCTCAAGATGGAGACGTTACTGGGCCCACTCGAGCAAATCGATGAACAACGGGAGGACAGTGACAGATAGCTAAAAGATGAGAGTTGAGTCTTTGAAGGAAACAAAGTAATGCTGACGCAGAGTTCCTCACCCATCCAAAATGCTCATGACTAATCCTGCAAGTTTCCGAGACTTGAGCCCTGAAAGCCAACTCCTATTTGAAGAAAAAATTCCTTCCTTCCTTCCTTCCTTCCTTCCTTCCTTCCTTCCTTCCTTCCTCCCTCCCTCCCTCCCTCCCTCCCTTATTTCCTTCCTCCCCTCTTCTCTCCCTCCCTCCCTTTGGGGGGGATTATACCCAGCAATAATCACGGTTATTCCTAGCTCTGCACTCAGAAATTACTCCTGGTCATGCTCAGGGGACCATAGGGAATTCTGGGTATCAAACCCAGGTTGGCTGCATGAAGGCAAATGCCCTCCCTGATGTACTATCACTCCATCCCAAGAACTCTTTTATGTTTGCTTTTTGGGTCGCACCCAGCGATGCACAGGGGTTATTTCTGGCTCATGCACTCAGGAATTATTCTTAGCAGTGCTCAGGGGAACATATGGGATCCTGGGAATCGAACCCGGGTTGGCCAAGTGCGAGGCAAATGTCCTATCCACTGTGCTATCACTTCCGCCCCCTCTTTTATGTTCTCAAGGAAGGAGAGGTGAAGAGTGAGTGTCCCTGGCCCTATGCCGACAGCCACTGAGACCTTATATAAGAGGTGTCCAGGCCAGCCGGCAGCTCAGCAATGGCTTTGAAATATGTCATTTCATTACACATCCATTAAGGGTAGAGCGGAAGGAGTAAGTCACCTGAAACAGCCAGGAAATGTGGAAGGAGTTGCATGACTCACAGTACGTTCACCCATTCTGAAAATTGGTTTAAATAATAAGCAACCCCACTCCCCCGCACTGGGGCTATGGGCGCTGCTCACAGAGTGATGCCGGGTGTGTAGCAGGTTCCACTGCAAATTTCTCTCCCCGATTCAGAACTCATTACCATGAGTCTGTGTGTGAACACGTGCATTTGCGAACACACACACCTTACTTGAAAAGAATCGCCAGGGGCACTAATCCGTAATAGAGCCTGGTGGCATAAAATACACAATAAAGCGATCACTCTTAACTTCCAGATGCCTGTGTAGGTACGTCACTGAAACACTCTTGTAGGCTGTGTTTATTATTTCCACTATCCCTCTATTTTATAAACAAAAAAACCAAAGCACCGTGTGTCTTTTTATATTCTTTTTACAGAGAAATAACTTGCTGCGAAAATCGCTTTTGATTTCGCAAATAGATTTTGATATTTAAAATTCACATTTCGGGGCCGGAGCGATAGCACAGCAGGTAGGGCATTTGCCTTGCACGCGGCCAACGAGGGTCCAATTCCCAGCATCCCATATGGTCCCCCGAATACCTTGAGGAGTAATTCTTGAGTGCAGACCCAAGGAGTGACCCCTGTGTATCACTGGGTGTGACCCAAAAAGCAAAAATAAATAAATAAATAAAAATGAAAAGAAATTCACATTTCTACATTCTTATTTAATATGCATATCATTTTAGTAAGGAGC